AAAGGTGCCATCAGCATCTTAACTCTCAACCATTCAAGTTGTCACCCAACCCTCATCAGTCTTTTGCCCTTTGAATACTGATTTTCCATTATACCGAAAGAAAAAGACAATCCTAGATGAAGACCAATAACCAGAGTTATTGTGAGTGGAAGAACCATGAACCAAGTACAAAGAACCCAACCACAAAATGTCTTGTCTCTAGTACTCTCTTCTTTTTTCTACCACCAACCCTATAATGTTTGAAAACTCTGATCACCTTACGACAGGCTGAATTCCGAGCAGCATATAATAACATACGCTGCTGGGCTGGAATATATGTTGTAGATCTTTTACACTTCTCATAATCTGCAACAATTACACGTGCTTGTACAGAATCAGCTTCTTATTCAACTTCCGCCATTATATTATGATGGACTGAGGAAAAGGAGAAGGACACAAATTCTTTTTTGGTGCTTTTGGACAGGTCATAGCATACATTGGTGGGATTCTTTTCCTTGTCTTCGCCGCCATGACACTGATCGAGATTGTGAGTTGAAAAGGCGCAACTATGACAGGCATGGTGTTGCTATTGCCCCCATTCTTCAGTTTTTGTAGGCATTAGAATGTCTCAGGTACAGCCATGCTCCAGTTAGCACAAAGCATAAAGGAGTTTGATTTGTTTGGATTTGTTATCATCATTGTATCAATCAAACTAACATTTGTTTAGTAAATAGAACTTGCACGCTGTCCTCTATGTAAATTTCAAGCAGCTCGATTCATCTGCCTGGGACTTTTGATTTGTCTAGTTTTAATGTAAAATTGGTAAGAAAGTACAGGTATTTTTGGCCTTTTGGTTTGTCTATGTGGGAAGCTTAGCTCGAAGTAGGGATTTTTTATTTGATAACCCAGAACATCAACAACCCACATGCCATATGAGTGACAACGGAGCCTACTAAATCTGGGTTATCTGCATACTAACCATTAAGGACTTTGTCCTGGCGCAGCAGTGCATGGCTATCTCAAAATAAGGATAGTCGGATAGATAATTGAGAAAAAAAGGGAGGATTAGGGATTATGAGACAATTAGGGGTAGATTGAAGAGATTTAGGGGTAAGATGACCGGAAAAAAAAAATAACGCTCTCTCCTCAACTCTCCCATGTTCCCTAATTTTTCGAAGCGTAACCGGCTAATCGCGGCGATTCACCTTTCCGGCTGGTGGTACCTTTATCGCCGCCGTTCGAATTAGCCGTGGTTGTGCATTGCCGATATGGGCTTCTCCTCCACTCATGGAGATCTTCAATCCTACTCCCTTCAGGCTCACATGCACTTTTATTTCTCGAATTACAGTTCCTATGCCAACGGATTGTGTTTGTCGTGGATGGATCAACATGCTCCTCAAATTCGGGTTGGGGCGTTTTCGGGCTAAGATCAGGTGACTAGGGGGGTCCCTTAGTCACATGACTAAGTCAATCTCAGCCATCGAGTCTCATTAAAATCTAATGGTTGTAATTGGTCTCATTTAATGAAGGGTAATGTAGTAATTGTAGTTTTATTTAATTAATAATTAGTACAAAATAAATAAAAAATCCTCCCTGCTTGTGAGTTTTTCTGCTGTTTCGATTCCACCTTCGGCTGACGGCGACTGCTGGTTCCGGCGGGCTTTTCCCCCTGTTGGATTCCGGCGTCCTAGTACCACCACGGTGGATTTTTATTCCCCATGGATGGGAACTCCATTCCCCATTTTGCGCGGCTAGAGAGAGAGAGAGAGAGAGAGTTTGCTGACCCGAGGAAACTTTCCAGCGACGACGGAGAAGGACTTTCCGGTGATAGTGTTGGATTTATGATATTTGTTGACCTATTTTGTAATGTTTGTATCGATTCGGTTTGTAATGTTTATCATTCTTGTTTGTCATTTTTTTAGTGACATTTTGTACGATTAGTATGTTTTGTATTCTTTGTCAGTTTATTTTGTAATGTTTGTAAACTTTATTATTTTGTAATGTTTGTCAGTTTCTTTTGTAATGTTTGTAAGTTTTGTTATTTTTGTGCACCATTTTTTTCAACCATGTTTGTAATGTTTTTATGTCTAAAAAACAACCTGGTTGACTTTTGGATGAAACTCCTCTATATAGGGAAGAAGCCTCCAAAGTCAACCCGGATGTTTTTCCAGTTTGTATGTTTGTCGGTCTAGTTTGTCATTTTTGTCCACAGTGTTCGTAATATTTGTATGTCTAAAGCCTACACTTCAAAAGGCTACAACAAACAAGCCCTTGGGAAAAGGCACCAAACAACCCAGCCAGAACAACCAAACACTACTCCCCAGGATACCACCCACCCAACTCGACAACAATTAGCAAAAACAAACGAATCCAAGCCGCAATCAAAATCAGGTCCTGAGCAGACGCAAGAAAGCATAACGCCAAGAAGCCACTACATTCTTCTCAACTTTCCCATGGGCCAGAATCCATTGCAGGACATTCATAACAGCCAAGCAAGCCACATCTCTAGCGGAATGGAGCTCTTGACGAAAAATGCGGTTGTTGCGTTCCTTCCAAACAACCCATCCCACAACATGAAGAAGACAAAAGTTAACCCAACCATCGATGTCATCTGGCTGCAAGTTCGGATGACTTTCATCTTTGAATTATATAATTTGGAGAAATCCTTGCAAGTCATCAAGTTTCTATAACAATGGCAATTTGAACTTTTTAATTAGTGATGTATAAGGTTTTGCAAGTCGTATCACGTAAAACTTGATGTACATCAACGTAACATCCACGTAACTTAAAGATTATAGTTTGTATAATTAAACCTCTTGTCTTGCACAATCAATGACTTGCGTTTGTAGTCCAACGGTTAGTATAATTGCCTTCCAAGCAATAGACGGGTTCGACTCCCGGCAGACGCATCATTTTTCATGAGAACTAATCTTTTAGTTCAAATATGCTCTTTTTCAGAACCGGACCGGAGGCTGAACCGGAAAATTTAGTGTTTTAGGGTTCATTGGTTAACCTTTACAAAGTCGTTGATGAACCGCTGATAGAACCGTTCATGATATATAACATATAAGACTTGTATATTACACTAATTTAAGAATGAAGTTATCATTCACCTTGAAATTCATATCATCACCAAAATATCTAATAAATCATTCAAACAGTCTCACTCTCACAAAAGAAATCATAATTTTTTCATTGAAATTAAAATTACAGTGCTAGTCAATAGAGGAGAACATAGAGTCGACAACAAGGTTCAAAAATTAGAAGAGGAAGCATATATAAAATTAATAATTATGATTTGATGATCTTAGTTTAAGTTAAAGTATTTTTTATTTTTTTTGCTTAAAATAGTGAACTAGTGGACCAGTTAAACCGTGGTGATTTATCTGATTTTATGTTGTCCAAGCAATGAATCGGACCGCTATCGTAACTTGCTTGGCGGTTCTACTGGCCAACTGTTGATCTGGTTCGGTTCTTATAACAATGCAAATATGACTAATCAGTAATCAGCGAAACCAATTAGCAGTAAGTCATCATTAACCTCCAAATGGAAAGTAATTGGCGGCCTTCTGCCAAAGGTAACACAATCGAGTTGGTCGGGAGTGTGGTCTTTCGGGTTTGAGATGTATGAGGTCTCAGATTCGAACCCCACTACACCACCCGGAGGCTGAACCGGAAAATTTAGTGTTTTAGGGTTCATTGGTTAACCTTTACAAAGTCGTTGATGAACCGCTGATAGAACCGTTCATGATATATAACATATAAGACTTGTATATTACACTAATTTAAGAATGAAGTTATCATTCACCTTGAAATTCATATCATCACCAAAATATCTAATAAATCATTCAAACAGTCTCACTCTCACAAAAGAAATCATAATTTTTTCATTGAAATTAAAATTACAGTGCTAGTCAATAGAGGAGAACATAGAGTCGACAACAAGGTTCGAAAATTAGAAGAGGAAGCATATATAAAATTAATAATTATGATTTGATGATCTTAGTTTAAGTTAAAGTATTTTTTATTTTTTTGCTTAAAATAGTGAACTAGTGGACCAGTTAAACCGTGGTGATTTATTGATTTTATGTTGTCCAAGCAATGAATCGGACCGCTATCGTAACTTGTTTGGCGGTTCTACTGGCCAACTGTTGATCTGGTTCGGTTCTTATAACAATGCAAATATGACTAATTAGTAATCAGCGAAACCAATTAGCATAAGTCATCATTAACCTCCAAATGGAAAGTAATTGGCGGCCTTCTGCCAAGGTAACACAATCGAGTTGGTCGGGAGTGTGGTCTTTCGGGTTTGAGATGTATGAGGTCTCAGATTCGAACCCCACTACACCACTTGGTGTTCCCGGAAGCACCACGAGTGCTGGAGATAAAGTCTCCCCCCAATATCAGGTGCTAGGCCTTGAAAATGTTGCTGACGCAGGTACTCCCCAGGTTTAGTAGACCCCGCTGCCACAAAGTGGCACGTAGGGTTAGGGATGGCAATGGGTCGGGTTGGGTCGTGTTTTGTCAAACCCAAACTCAAACTCATGGGTTTATCCGTGAAAAAAATCTGGGGTAAAACCCACTGGGTTTGGAAAACTCAAACCCAACCCAACCTGCTGTGTCTGCGGGTTCATGGGTACCCATGGGTTTTTGTCGTAAGAAATTTACAATAACAAGTTGCTATAAAAATAAAAGTCAAATATCAATCTCTCAATACAAACTATCCATATATAAAACACAATTATACAAAATTCAAGCAAATCACAAATTAACCACAAATTGTTAAACATCAAGCTACAAAACTCAAGAAAATTGAAGCAAATCACAAATTATCTATAAACAACATGATTAATTGAAAGCTTCTTCCTTCTTGTCAATTAAGTTTCTTCACTCTCCACTCGATAATATCAACTTCATTCTACACAATTATAAAAAATTAAATATGTCTCCACAAACATAAAGAAGATTAGTTGCTTAGAAAACTAAATATACCAGGAAAATTAATTATATGAGTGTGAGCGGGTATTCCCCGTGCCCCACCCTCCACCGCCTCCGACCCACTCAAACCAGACTTCTTTAACCACTCAACCCCCTCCGCTGCCGTCGGCCGGGTTCTGGGTCGGCCGATGGAGTACGTCCGGTCCACTTACATCTTCGGATGGGAAATAGGTCGGGGCCAATTCACAGTTACCTACTTAGTAACCCACCGGGAGACTAAAGAGCAGTTCGCTTGCAAGTTAATCTCATTGAGGAAGCTGATCAATCGAGACGACATTAAAGACGTCAGCCGCGAGGTCCAAATTATGCATCACCTGACGGGTCACTATAACATAGTCGAGCTGAAGGGTGCGTACGAGGATCGACATTCATTCAATTTGGTGATGGAGCTTTGCGCCGGTGGGGAGCTCTTCGATCGGATCATCGCCAAGGGACATTACTCCGAGAGGGCGGCGGCTGGGCTTTGCCTGCAGATCGTCACGGTGGTGCACAATTGCCATTCTATGGGGGTAATGCATAGGGATTTGAAGCAGGATAATTTCCTCTTCTTGAGTACAGCTGAGGAATCGCCTCTCAAGGCTATTGACTTCGGGCTCTCTGTGTTTTTCAGGGGAAAGTTAATCTACTAACTTGATGATTCATTAGCAGATACTAACTGATATTCAAAATACATGAACTAATATCCAAGTATTAAAGTATCTAGAGACCACAGACTAGTATTCAAAGTTTGCTAACTAATATCCACCATGAATCAACTATTATCCCAAATTCACAAACTAACATCTAGACAACACAGAATAGTATCCAAACAGCACATAATTAGTATCCGATAACACAGAAGAGTATCCACATAACCCATAAGAATATCCATATTGAATACTAGTTGGTTGATTGTGGATATTAGTTGGTATCTGCTATCTAGATACTAGTTTGTGATGTTTTGAATATTAGTCTGTATTATCTAGATACTTAGCATACTTCGATATTAGTTCATATATTTTGGATATTAGTTAGTATATACTAACGAAACTTTAAGTTAGCAGAATAACTAGGCTAGTTTTTCAAGCCAGATAGGGAATCTCTTAGTTGTTGCAATCTTGAAACCATCGAGCTAGATTCCCATTTTTGTCCAGTCAGCTCTTGGACTAGAAATGCTTGACTTGTTTTGAAGGTTTGATTCATTACAGTTGATCTGCCATTGCAGGAGATGTGTTCAAGGGCCTTGTTGGAAGTGCATATTATGTAGCTCCTGAAGTTCTGCGAAGAAGCTATGGTCCCGAGGCTGATATATGGAGTGATGGTGTTATCTTGTACATCTGCTCAGTGGAGTTCCACCATTCTAGGGAGGTCTGTAGCTTTGACCATTTTGTTTGAGAGAACTCTGAACTTTTGAATGACTATATATAGAGCATAAAGTTCTTGTTTGTTTTCTCCTTTGTTGTGGTGTTGGCCACATTTGCATAACTAAGAATTTCATGGTTGCTTATACACTTAAATTAAGCTCGTGGAATCGCATATGATGCAGTTAGAGTCCACGCTCTAATTGTTATTGATCCTGCCTCCCCTGTAGAAATCTTCCATACCACATCATTCAATTACTTGTCGGAGACACATGCTAGCTTTTATTTCTCTGGTAGCTTTCTTTTCTCACATGCTATTCTTATCTTTTACCAAGCAATATCACGTGTATATGTACAAGTAGATAGGTCTCCATGTAACTTGAATCAGTAAGAAGAAATACAAAGTGGCACGCTCTAATTGTTATTGATCCTGCCTCCCCTGTAGAAATCTTCCATACCACATCATTCAATTACTTGTCGGAGACAAGTCCATTAACTCACCATCCCTATTTATTTTTCCCCATCTCAATGTTATCTTCTGCAGACACATGCTAGCTTTTATTTCTCTGGTAGCTTTCTTTTCTCACGTGCTATTCTTATCTTTTACCAAGCAATATCACGTGTATATATACAAGTAGATAGGTCTCCATGTAACTTGAATCAGTAAGAAGAAATACAAACAGAATAGAGACTATCATTCTGGTCTTTCTCTTTTCAATCCTTTGTGATTTCTTCATGGTATCAGAGCGGGTTCTCTAGAATCCTGCAAATCTTTTCCCTTCTCATTCCTTTTCTTGAGTGAAATACATAATGAGTGATCTCCAAACCTCAGTACAAGCAACCAGCAAAGCAGAGAAGAGAGTCCCATTGTGAGCACCATGAAAAAGGAGGCAGCTTCCGCATAGAGTCTGCATAATTCAGACAATCCTAGTCAAATGTTCGTAAGTGATCCACTCACCGATCAAAACTACGGAGAGTGGGTCAGCGACATGACCAACTCTCTTCTAGCAAAGCACAAAATGGGCTTTGTCGATGGCACCATACAGAAACCAGCCGAGGAAAATGAATACCTTGCAACCTGGATCCAGTGTGACGCCATGGTGAAAGGGTGGCTCAAGACCGCCATGGACAAAGAGGTGAGAACCAGTGTCCGATACGCGAAAACAGCCCGCGAGATATGGGTCGATCTTCAAGAGAGATTCGGGAAGGGAAGTGCACCTCGTGCCTGTGAGTTAAGGCGAGCCATCTCACTCCTCCAACAAGAGAAACTGCAGTTTCAGCCTACTATACGAAGCTAAGAGGGTGTGGCAGGAATCCAACTCCATCATACCACAACCAACATGTGTTTGCAATCGTTGCACATGTGGTCTAGAAAAGGGTGAGGGAGATTAGTGAAAACGCTAGACTTTTTGACTTTCTAATGGGACTTGCAGATGTTTTCTCTACTGTAAGGTCACAAGCACTCAACATGAAGCCTACACCAACCCTTGGAGAGGCCTATCACATGGTGGCTGAAGATGAACAACAAAGGAATATCGCAACAACTCGAAAACCAATTATAGAAGCAGCAGCTTACCAAGCAAATGTTGTCACAAAAGATGGTGGTAAGCGCCGACATGATGGGAAAGAACAACCACGATGCACCCACTGAAACAAACTCGGGCATGTCAAGGAGAAATGCTATGAGTTGGTGGGCTATCCGCCTAAAAACTTGAAACCTGGAGAAAAGGGAAGTTGGCGTAAATTTGACGATCTCAAAAGTGGTTCTAAATCAGCCCACTTTGCTGATTTAGAAAAGTCGTGTTCCTGGATTGTCGATGGACCAATGTCGACAACTCATGCAATTTCTGAATAGTGGAAGTCCATCTAAAGCATCCTCTTCATCTGGAGCACCTACAGTCAACATGGCTGGTAAGAAAATTTCAGAACATGAATGGATTATAGACTCAGGATGCAATGAGCATATCACTAACAATGCTGGAATTTTGGAAAATAGTGGCGATTCTCATACTTATATGCCTGTGACTATCCCAAATGGTGATAAAATACCCGTCCAACAAGTAGGAACTGTTCATTTGTCGAATGGGATGAAGCTAAGTAATGTGTTAGGCATTCCAAACTTCAAATGCAGCCTACTGTCAGTGAGTAAACTTACTCGTGATTACAATGTGGCCTTGATCTTCTTGAGTAATTTTTGTGCAATCCAGGACTTACACTCGAAGAAGCTGATTGGGACGGGTAAGTTAAGAGATGGGTTGTACTACCTAAATCTCTTTGACACAGAAGGGAAGAAGGCTTTGGCAGTACATGGCAGTGGTACGAGTGAGTCAGAACTTTGGCATTCCAGACTTGGGCACCCCTCTGAGCAGAAAATGAAACTTTTCAGCAATTTGACCAAAAATAAGTGTAAACTTACACATTGTGATGCTTGTCTACGAGCTAAACAATCACGTTTACCATTTCCTATTAGTTCAATAAAGACTACTTCTTGCTTTGAACTTCTACATATCGATATTTGGGGGGGTTACAGTTCTGTTTCTTTAACTGGAGCACGCTATTTTCTCACCATTGTTGACGATTTCAGCAGAGCAGTATGGGTATATCTCTTGCGGTACAAATCGGAAGTTGAGAAATACTTACTCATTTTTTGTCATATGGTCAAAACTATATTTCAGAAGAATGTCGCTCGCATTCGTGCAGATAATGGGCTTGAATTTCAGACACGTGGTCTCCAACAGTTCTATGAAGAAAATGGAGTTTTGCTGCAAACTACTTGTACAGACACTCCCCAACAAAACGGAGTAGTCGAAAGAAAATATCGTCACCTGCTTGAAACAGCTAGAGCACTCAGATTTCAAGCAAATTTACCCATAAAATTCTGGGGTGAGTGCATTCTTACAACAACATACCCCATTAACAGGATGCCCTCCCGCAGTATTCAGAACAAGACGCCTTATGCGGTGCTTTTTGGAAAATCACCACCACTGGAGCATCTCAAAATCTTCGGCTGCCTTGCATATGCTCGAGACAATCATAAGCATATCGACAAATTTGCGGAAAGGGGGAGACCCAGTGTCTTTCTCGGATATCCAGCCGCTCAGAAAGGGTATAGATTACTCGACCTTGCTACCAATCGCATCTTCATCTCCCGAGATGTGTTCTTCGTCGAACAAGTCTTTCCATTCAAGGACCAGACGTCAACATACCCATCACCGAATTCATCGCCTGAAACAACATCAGTTCCAGCAGACGACCTTGCAAATGACGGTCCCACAGCCGCAGACCCACATCCGGCGTTGCCTTTCTCACCACCGCCTGCAAACTCTCTGCCTGCAGTCATCCCAAATTCCTCTTCGGCATCACCACCTTGCCCTCCTAGCGACCACGATCGGGTGGAGGAAACTATCACTCTGGCACCGGCAGGAGCTCCCACGGCGAATCCGCCGCAACTGCTCCATCTCGACAACGTCGTGGGCAAAAGAGTTGGGGAAATAAAATCCCCCCAATCGGCCAGCCATCACAGAATGAAGCAGCCAAATCAATTCCATTCTTCTGGGCCCCCTTCCTCAATCCAATTTCATGATGGGCCAAGTCAATTCGAGCCCATTAACTCCCATGGGCCACTTCAAGGCCAAATAAACAATCCAGAGGTTTTAGGGGTCGTTTGCTTCAAGGATTTGGTACATGGATTTGGTACCAAAAAACCAACTATCAAGGATTTAGGTACAATCTTTTGTTTGCTTGCACTTTTTTTGGAGACCAAATCCGTGGGCCCCACGAATTTTAAGGGTCCAAATCCGTGGACCCCACGGACTTATAAATCCCACATGTTGATGTGGGATTTGGAATATGGCATAAATCCTTGATGAGATTTTACTCATATACCCTCATGCACTTTTAATATTCCAAGGTTGCCCTAAAATTTAACTATTATACATTATAATTAACAATAAATGAATCCTATAAACGTTCAATTAATGTGCAAAATGCAAACATGAGTTAGATTTTTTATATCATTTCTTGTGTTCTAGTTTTCTTTGACCTTTTCATGGAACGTGTAATTCTTTGTTCTCCCGATTCTAATATATGTTGTTATATGTCACTTTTGAAAAGGATGACAAAGAATTGGTAATTGATTATGTTACGTTAAAAGTTAAAACGGAATTTTCTTGTTTATTATTATTGTTCATGTGGCAACATTATGCTTATTAGTATGTATTGTCCTTGTTTTGTGTACATATCATAACATGTCAAACATATAGAAAATGATAGTAAGGTAATTTCGAAGTTTTGTCCTTGTTTTGTGTACATATTATAAACATGTCAAACATATAGAAAAGGGCAGTAATGTAATTTTTGACTTCAAGTAGTAA